ATAGCTAAAAAGTATAGATTTTAAAAGATAAAATTTTAATGTGTTCATAAACCATTAAATTAGTTAGAATCCTCAGAGACCAAAAGCAATGAAAACAGAAATCTTGAAAAATAAAGAGAGCTTTGAAGGAAGCTCTCACTTGCAGGACTTTTTCTAAAGTGAGTAAACATGAGCTTTAGTTTGTGGCTGTTTTGTTTTGTTTTGTTATGGGATATCATGGACCTAAAAATAAAATAAAATAGTTCAGGCCCTGTTCTGCTTACTGTGAATAATCACTTAGCTGATCAACAAGCATAACACTAGTGGACCAAAGGGTGATATCCTTAGTGTATAGATGAAGTGAAAGTCAGTAAACCAGAAACAGAGTTTATCTGTCTCAAACCTTAGCCCTGATTGGGAGTTGCACCTGAAATTGCATAACTAATAGACTAATTCTCATATGGATTTTCTGTCTAAATTTATAATATTGGAGTATTATGAAAAAATTGGAGCTAAGAACTTTAAAAAAATGTATCCATATATGCTCATATTGTGAGATGTATCAGAATAGCATGATTGCTAGAGAAACCACATTGAATTCTAATACATAAAGCTCTAAGAAATATGAACTCACCTTTTAAAAAAAACACAAAACAACAAGAGAAAACAGAGTACCATGAACCAGAGCCTTCAGAAATTACAAATAACTTAAAGAGTCCTGCAGTCTTTAGATACTGGAATGATCAGCCATGGAATAGAAAATAGTCATATTTAATGTGTGAAATCTGTTTTACAAAATAAAAACAAGACAGTTTGAAAAGCGTCAAACATTCTAAAAATAAACCTCTACAATTAAAAATTAACAACTGAAATTAAGAACATGGATGGGTCTGATAGAAGATTAGACTATTAGAAAACGTACACAAGTTGGAGCAACTACAAGAAATGAAAACACAAAAGAATGGTTAAGGGAAATTAAAGAATGGGAGAATTCAACGTACAAACAAATTCTATATGGAAAGTGGAGAGAAGGAACAGAGACAGGTTACAAATGAGAATTTGTGTATTTACCACATTTCCCCCAAAATAAGGCATAACCAGAAAAGAAACCCTGGCCTGATTTTTCAGTATGCTCATAATTCAAACTCTACCCCCAAAATAAGACCCAATTAAGATTGTCAGCCAGATGGACACATTTATTTAGTAAGCTCATTGCAGCACATATGGACAAATTGAATTATAAAATATTATTAATATTTAAATAATATCATTACATAAATACTTAAATTTTAATATAATTTGTACCTATTTATAATTACACAAGTGGGTGCCTTTGGATGAGAGGTAAATGCCTATATAAACAGATGAACGCAAGAGTTACTGCTAAATGACCAGCATACAGGTACAACACATGAATAACCTGTGCACTTGATAACAAATGGACTTGGTTGTCTCTAATATGAATCTTCATAATTCAGTACATTATGTGTTGTAACAGAGGTACTTAAAATGCATATAAACTTATATGAAATAAGCGTTTCCTAAATTTTGGTGCCTGAAATTTCGTCACTTTTGTGTGGACCATCATTATTCACGCTCATCATTTTTGTTGCCACTCCTGTCTCATAAGTCTTCAATTAATACTTAATTTAATGGAAACCAATCTAGCCTGCAGGAGATCATGACTTGAGTAAAGAATTCATGGGATAAAGTCAGTAACAGCTGTGTTGACAGTACACCAGAAGGCTACATGGACGAGAAGTACTCCTTTATGGACAGCTCTGTTGCTGGACATGAGAGATTGGGGCCAGTGGTTCTATAGGAAATGGAGTCGCAAGAAATTCAAGCTGAAATTCAGGGTTTGGAGAGTTATGATAGTGTTCCAGAAGAATATGACAGGATTATATTTGAATAAATGTAGATTGTTGTACAAGAAAAAACAAGCTATCCCCTGAAAAGAAGCCCTATTGCATCTTTTAGGGAAAAAATTAATACCATATAAGACCTATATTTATTTTGGGGGAAATACAGTATCAGAGACTCATCAAAGATTCAGAGACTAACATGCTATCATCAAAATAAATTTAAAACACATCTTTACACTTAAAGACATCATAAACTGGTGAACACTAAAGACAAAGAGAAGGTCTTAAAAAGCAGAAAGATAGTGAAAAAAGAATAAGATAAGACTATAAGAGCAAGAAGCAATTTAAATATGTTCAGGGACCATTTTCATCTCCAGAATTAAGGATTATTTTGATGTTACATCATTGCCTTTTCTCTTTTACTTTCCTTTTTAGTTTTATTTTAGGATTCCCTATTTTTAATGTTCATACAGAGATTTCTTTAACTGAAATACCGAATAGTTTCTTTGATGTGAAAAACTATAATAGTACACAGGATCCTAATGAGACAATTAATAATATGAAATAGGAAGTAAAGGGCTAAAGGTGTAAGGAAAGTGGGAAGGGTGGGGGAAAGGTAATAAGGGAGAGGGAAAAAATATGAGAAACTGGAAAAATGGAAATAAAGTGTTTGTAAATGGGGAGGGGAGGAGGGAGTGAAGGGAGGGCAGGGACAAGGGGAAAAATGAGAATCAAGACCTATTATGTAAAGGTACAGAATCCCAATGATGAATGTAATTGTATTGTATACCTAGATTGTACCAATGACCTCAATAAAAAGAAAAAAATAAAATAAAAATAAAAGCAGAAAGACAAAACATTATTGTACCTGCAAAGGAATAACAGCTGACTTTTCAGCACAACTTACGCAGATATCTTCAGACTAGTTAAAACTGAAAGTAAGTACTATCCATTAACCCTTTTTAAATAAACTTAAAGGATGAAGTTGGAGCCAAAAGAACATGGTTGTTGCCGGGAGGTTAGACTTGTAAAAAGGACTGATGAAACAAGACACTGATAAATACATAAGTATATCTAACTACCTCTTTAGTGAAAAAACAATTTTAGCAATATTAAAATGAGAAAAATTAAGAAAACTGTGGCATATAAATCTTGAAGAGGAAAACAACAAAGTACTCTGTTACTTTTATTATTCTGGAGGATATTTAAAAATCAACTTTAAAATAAGATATGTTAAACAATTTTGAGGGATCCTATTACTGCCACTTAAGGAAAATACAAGGAAGGAGAAGAGAACTGATGTAGTTTAAAAAATATTTATTTAGAAAAATCAAAGACAAAATAGAAGGAAAAATGAAATGCACAAATGGCAGAGCAAATAGCACAAAATAAGAAAAAAAGACAAATATATCAGTATATGCAAACTAATTGGACTCGGTGAAGCATTTAAAAAACAAATATCGATTAGATTTAAAAAAGAAAATATCTAAAAATTGAAGATGCATAAATGTTGAAAGTAAAAATTTGTTTCTAAATGTATCAAGCAAATAATCTCTCTTGAAGAAAAAAAAAATTGGTACTCACCAAAAGTGACTTCAAAGCAAAATCAATACTGGAGAAAAAAAGGATGAGGATCACTATTTGATAACAAAAAGCTGATCACATAAGATATAGCACTTACATGGTCCTTATAACCTCAAATGTATTAAGGAAAATGTAACAGATATAAAGAGAAATCAACAATCCTACCATTATAATGAGAGATATTAATTTACATCTTTAATACTTCAATTAAAAAAATAGCCTTCAACAATATAACATGTTTGATACAATAACCATGTATGGAATGTGATATATTTTCAACAATTACAAGATGGGTGTGGTGGCTCACACCTGTAATCCCAGCACTTGGGAGGCTGAGGCAGGAGGATCACTGTGAGTTCGAGACCAGCCTGGGCTACATAGTGAGTTCCAGATCAGTCTCAACTACATAGTGAGACCCTGTCTCAAAAACCAAAAAAAAAAAAAAGCAATTGCAGAGAATGTTAAATACACATTTCTTATGAATCCTACATGAAACTTTTTAAATATCGGCTGTGTAACTTGACATCAATCTCAATAAATATCAAAGGATTAATGGAAGATATACCACATTCTAAACACAGTATAACCATATGTCCAGTATCCTTATAAAAAGGCCAAAATACAGAGACATAGTTACCCTGAGAGAACAAATCCTTGTAAGATGGAAGCAGTGACTGGACTCGTGTCTAAACAGCAAGGGACATAAAGAGTATCAGCAAATACCAGAAGCTAGGAGAGAAACATGGAACAGCTTCCCCTTCAGAGCTGCTAGAAGGAACTACAATTACTCCCTTATCACCTTGGTTTTTAGATTTCTAGCTCCCAGAATTATGAGAAGATACATTTCATTTCAGTTTGTGGTACTTTGTTATAACAGCACCAAGGAACAAATATATTCCATATGCTTAAGAATTAAACATAATTCTAAATAATTCATAAGTCAAAGAAAAAGAAGTAAAAAATATTGAACTAAATGCTAGTGAAAATATAATATGTGACCTAAGAGGTGGAAATAAAACAATGGACATTGGTAGTCTTACATTTATAGATCAGAAAGGAAAATACAAAAATTAGTTAAGTATCCAAAATAATAAGTTAGAAGAAGGAATACAAAATAAACCTGAAGAAATTAGAAAGATGTCACAAAAGTGGAAGCAAAGATTGACAATATAAAAAACAAAAATGCAGTGGAGAGTACTGGATGGATTTCAAGAATGTATCGCATTAATTATTTGGAAAAACAAGGTTCAGAGGAATATTCAACTTACACACATATTAGAAACAAACAAATTTTTTAAAATGGTGTTTATTAACAAGAACAAAAAAATGATGTTTAAAGATACAAATGTACAGAAAAATGTTCCAGATGGTAATTACCTCTGAGACACGAGGGAATAAAGGAAGAAAAGAAAGAAAGCTGGAGGGCATTGTGGGGTAGAGAAAGAAAGAAGGGAATGTTTTAAATATTTTATATTTTGTGTTTTCATATTTTATTGGCCTTCTGAAGTTGTTCTTTTGTAGCTTTCCTATTCATATCTTCTGGTTTTTTTCCCCCCCATTTTTCAAAACAAGGTCGTTGCCGACATGGAGATACAGGTTCACAAGTTGAGGGAGGAGCTGATTAATGTGAACTCCCAGAGGAAACAGCAGCTGGTAGAGCTTGGTCTCCTTCGAGAAGAAGAAAAGCAAAGGGCTGCGAGGGACCATGAGGCTGCTGTCAACAAACTGAAGGCTGAATCAGAAAAGATGAAAATAGAGCTGAAAAAGACACATGCTGCTGAAACAGAGATGACTCTGGAAAAGGTGAGATGGCTCATTGGAATTTTTGATGCAGTTGCAGTCCACATTTAAAATCTACTCCATCACTCTTAATCTCTAAAAGGTAGTAGATAGGGAATTGTTCTTCACATTTATAAACTCTTTAAATTAGCAATTTGCTGTCTTGCTTTGTGTGTAACACCACTGAAACATTCTAGGGAATTTCTCACTTTTTCCTGAACTTCATGGAAGGGACTTTATGGAAAATACCACTCCATAGTAATTTAATACACATTGTGATATTATATTGATAAGAAATATTTGAGCTACAGCCTTAAATATTCTACATTAAAACTACATTTCAGAGCTTCCCTTTGTTGTCTAATAATCATTTCTAAATTTTATAATTTTTATAACAATGTGAAATAAATGACAACTTATTCTTCCAGGTTATTTTAGCAGAAATAAGAAAAGTTAATTTAGAATTACATACTATTGAAATAAATATCATTATAGTATTTGCACATTTTGAGTTGATTTACATTCAAGGTAGAATCTCAAATATTTTTCTTTTGATAGTCTGAAAAAGTATAAATATTTAATAACATATTAAAGTGAATTGCTATTAATCATAATAGCTGTAAGTTTCTTCTTGAGCTCCTAAATACCAGCCTTTATATTGAGAAGAAGAAACTTGGAAATTTAAGAATCATCTAATCTACTCAGTTTCTTCTACCTCTGCTTTATCTTTAAATAATATTGAATGCTCACAGAGTACACAACAGCATTTTACTCTACTGATTTTACATAGCCTGTGATCCATAGGTGTTTGCTGTATAATACCTTAATTCATCTGAAAGTCAAATGTTAGCAGACTTTGCCCTTCGCAGCATGGCCCTGAACCCATAAATAAATAGGAAAGGGTCTCTGCATTGGCCAGAGGAAGGGTGTTGCTTGGATTCTGTAGAGATTTAGTGAGTTTTGAGTAGAAGAGTGTTGAGATCTGTCTCACTTGAATGGGTTCTCTCTAGCTGCAAGTGTAGAATACACTGAATAGAGGTCAAAGGAGGACAGAGGGAACAAGGGAGAGGCTATTGCCATAACTCAGACAGAAGGTGGTAGGGGCTGGGGCCTGGACAGTGCGGTGATTGGGATGTGTTCTGAATGTACAGCTGACAGGACTGACTGTTGTGTTACACATGGGGCATGAAAGGAGACTGGGGACAGTTACGGTGACACCAGTGTTGCTTGCCTAAGCCAGATGGAGTTCCCCTTTGCTGAAAACAAGGGTGGGGCCATTCAGGACATCCTCAGGCTAAGAAGTCTTTACTAGATGAGGATGTTAGTAATAATTCTGTCAAAGTCATAAGAAATATTAATTTGGATGCTAAAATATGCAAAGTTTCTGTAATTAGGGAACTTTGCTTATAAAAAATAGCCACATACCTCTGCTGCTGATGGCAGATAAACAAGACTGATGGAGTATAACAGTATTGTCATTTATCTTCTATTATCTCTTACACAGACCTCACCTTTGAGTTCCTTTGCTGACTGTTCAAGATATTTCTAAGTAAATGTTTTTAAATGGCACAGATGCCGGTACATCTTGATTGAATAAAAATAGACACAACAAATCCAGACTTAAACATCTAATTTAGCTCTTCACTTTCTTGTATTATTTATTTATATTTCAAATGTTTATTTTTAATATAAAATGTGTTTTTTTCAATTTTATATGCACTATTAATTTTTAGGTTACAGATCATTTTTCAAAAATCAATGGTAATTCATTTGGCAAACATATCCCAAAAATATATTATCCCAGACACTGTGGGGATACAAAGAAAAAAATGAAAAGTATGGCAATCACTCACCTCAAAAAGATTTTGAAATAATAGTGAACACAAGTCAAAAATGCATGAACATGTTTGTAGATAACTATGATGTAAGGAAGATTATGAAATTGGGGGAAATTATTTGCTGCTGAGGAAATCATGGAAAATGAACTAGAAGAGATCTCAATTGCACTAGACCTAAGTAAAGTTTAGGATTTTGACTAATATATGTGGAGAATGGCCTTCCAAGTCAAGGAAAAACAAAAACCAAGAGCAACTAAAGCATTTGCAGATGGGCTAACCTAGGTAAGTGGCTAGTAATAGGGCTGAAAGATAGCAATCATTGGAAATATCCAAAGCTGTAACAGGTATTTCAGCTTTGTGGGGTAAAAGATTGAGAAGCTACTGAAAGCTTCTGAGAAATGAAATGTCAAGATTGCGATTATTTAATTTCCTCTATGCCCCATTGGTTTTTCAGGAGAGAGTTATTAAATTTCCATGTGTTTGTGAAGTTCTGGCAGTTTCTTACGCTATTGACCTCCAGTTTAATTGCACTATGGTCTGATAATATACGTGGGATAACTTCAATTTCTTTGCATGAACTTAAACATGTTCTATGAGCTAGCATGTGTCTATTTTGGAGAATGATCCATGTGCAGCCAAAAAGAATGTATAGTTTGATTTTGTGGGGTAGAACACTCTAGAAATCTATTAGGTCCATTTGTTCAAAAGCTTGGTTCAGTTCTCATATTTCATTGTTGATTTTTTTGTCTAGATGATCTATTTGTGACAATGGGGTATTGAGGTTCCCCACTACAATTACATTTGTGCTTATTTGGTGTTTCATGTCTCTTAATATTTGTTTTGTATAGCTGGGGATATTAGTATTTGGTGCATATATATTTATGATTGTCATCTCTTCCTCTTGGATTGTTCCCTTTACAAGGATGTAGTGACCTTCTATATAGCTCTTAATTAGTTTTAGTTTGAAATTTACTTTGTCTGCAATTAAGATAGCTACCCTTGCTTTTTTCCGGGTTCCTGCCACATGGAGAACTATTTTCCATCCTTTTCCTTTCAGTCTGTAAGTTTCTTTTTTAACTAGGGGTGTTTCTTATCTACAGCATATTGTTGGATTTTGCTTCTTAATCCATTCTGCCAGCCTGTTTCTTTTGATTGATGAATTGAGGCCATTAACATTGATGGTTATAACTGATATCTATTGACTTATCATTGTCATGTTATTTTCCTGTTGTTGCCTCTGCATTATTATTTTTCCCCCTCTCCCTTTAATTTCTTGCTTTGACTGATGGATTTGCTTTGTTGGGCCTCATGGAGTTGTGACCTTCATTGTCTTTTATAGGACATTATTTAGAATTGTTTGAAGTTCTGGTTTGGTATTCATGAAGTTTCTCAGGTGTTCTTTGTTATGTAAGTGTCTTTTTTCCCCATCAATTTTGAAAGATAGTTTTGCAGGATACATCAGTCTAGGTTGGAGGTTGTTTTCTTTTAGGGTTTGAAATACCTCACTCCAGGCTCTCCTTGACCTAAGAGTTTGTGTTGAACAGTCTGTTGTGGTTCTGATGGGCTTTCCTTTGCATGTGATTTGTTTCTTTTCTCTAACTGCTTGTAGTATTTTGTTCTTCTTTTGCATCTCTGGGATCTTGATTATTACATGTTTAGGCATAGATTTTTTTTTTATTATTATGGCTAGTTGGAGTCCTATATGCCTCACTTATCTGTGAGTCAAATTCTTTCACTCTGTTTGGGAAGTTTTCTATCATTCATTCTGTGGTTGTGGGGAGAAAGGAACCCTTATTCATTGTTTGTGGGATGCAGACTGGTGCAACCACGGTGGAGATCAATATGGAGATGCCTCAGGCAACTAGGATTAGAAGTCCCATTTGAGGGCCGGGGATTTAGCTCAGCGGTTTGGTGGCCTGCCTTGCAAGCACAAGGACCCGAGTTCAATCCCCGATACCAAAAAAAAAAAAAAAAGCCCCATTTGACCCAGCTATTCCTCTGCTGGGTATCTTCCAAAAAGAATTAAAAGAATCATACCACAGTAATATATGCACACCCATGTTTATAGTGGCACAGTTTGTAATACTTAAAACTTGGAAACAGCCCATTTGCCCATCATTTGGATACTGGATAAAGAAGATGTGGTTGTTTTTTATAAAATGAAACACTACTCAGCCATAAAGAATGAGAAACTGGTCAAAGAAGTGTCATGAAAGTAAAAGAAATATGAGAAGAACTTATTTTAATGGAAATAGAGGAAAGAATGTTTGGAGAAAGATTGACTAAAATGTGACAGAAAATCTGGAAGAGTGAGGGTTGAGGAAAAGTTGCTGCATTTGAAACTGAGAAGTCACTGATTTTGGAAAGGACACTGAAAATGATGGTGTAGACAGAAGCATGGTTGCAAAAGATAAGTGAAGAGGTGATGAGCAAACCCTTGGGAAAATCTGATGGTAAAATAGGAAGTGATTTTTCTGAAGATCGGAAGGAGTTAAGGAGAGTTTTTGTTTTGTTTTTAGGACGAACATGTCTTGAGTATTTTAAAGCATACGAGGGGGGACTGATTTAAAGGAACCACTTACTGAGATGAAGAACGGTAGATAACTTGTGGCAATCTGACAGGTGACCATGGGAACAAAACCTCCAGCACAGACCCACCTTTGCCTTTGGCTGCGAGGGTCCAGGTGCCTGAGACTTTGATCTGTTCTTGGAATGTATCAGGTTCTCTCTTGCTGCCTTATGTCTCCTGCCTTCTGCCTAAAATTGTCTTCCAAATGATTTTTCTGTGGCCACCTTCCTTCTTATCACTCTAAGGTCCTTCTCTGACCACTTTATTTAAAGTTAGGCCTACTTACACCACCTGCATCCCATTTCTTTATTGATTCTCTCACTGTCTACAGTCATCCTCTTATCTGTGTTCACTTGTTTATTCTGATTCTACCCACTAAGAAAAATGCAAGCTCTGTGATCAAGACCTGATCTGGCTTGCTCATTTCTGTATTGCTAGTGCCTGTAAAACTTTATATATGCTGGATGCTTATTGCTAGTATATATGAAATAAGACACAAGAGACATGCCTTTCATGTGGGAATGTTACCGGTTTTGGGGGTGCTAGAGTCCCCTTTTGGAGGTGGTTTCTAAACCTCCTTCTGGAGGTCTTTTTGTCCTGGGTAAAGAATTGGCGAA